GTTGATAAATTTAACTCATAAAAACTAAAAATCTTTTCTCTGTGAAAAATTTCTGATCTGTTCATAAATTTGACTCATCAAAACTAAAAATTTCTGCTCCGTGAAAAGGAACAAGCTACAGAGTGGGAAAAATATTTTCAAATAACATGTTCAACAAAGGGCTTACACTGAGAATATATAGCCTTAGAACTCAACTGTAAAAAAAACTCAAATTAGAAATACCCAAAAGATATGAACAGACAATTCATTGAAGGGGATATACAGATGGCAGATAAACCCATGAAAATATGTTTAACAACATTAGCCATTAGGGAAATGCAAATTCAAACCACAGTAAGTTAATACTACACACTTAGCAGAATGACTAAAACAAAAAAATAATGATAACACCAAATGCTGGACTGAATGCGGAGAAACTTAATCACTTAAACGTTGTTGGTGGAAACGTAAAGTGGTTCAGTCATTCTGGAAAAAGTGTGGCAGTTTCTTACAAAACTAAATGTGATTACCATACAACTCAGCAGTTGCATTTTGGGCATTAATCTCAGGGAGTTAAAAGTTATATCATACAAAAGCCTGTATGTGGCCATTCACAGCAGCTTTGTTTGTAATAGCCCAAACATAGAAGCAATGCAATGCTTTTTGGTGGTGAATAAACAAACTCTGGCACATGCATATGATGGAATACTACTGAGGAACAAAAAGGAACAAACCACCTATGCCTGTAATCCCAGCACTTTGGGAGGCCGAGGAGGGCAGATCACTTGAGGTCAGAAGTTCGAAACCAGCCTGGCCAAGATGGTGAAGCCTTGCCTCTACTAAAAATAGATACAAAAATTAGCTGGGTGTGGTGGTGTGTGCCTGTAATCCCAGCTACTCAGGACGCTACAACAGAGAATTGCTTGAACCTGGGAGTCAGAGGCTGCAGTGAGCCAAGATGGCACCACTCCTCTTCAGCCTGGGCAACAGAGTGAGACTCTGTCTCAAAACTAAATAAGTAAATAAATAAAACAGGCACTGTAGAGTAAATTCCCTGTGTTTCCATCTGAGATTCCCTGTTTATTTTTCAGATGTTATTGGGCATTTTGGCTAACCTTTCATGGCAGCAAGGTGCTCATCTGGAAAATGGGAATACCCTAGCATTTAACTCAGACTTACTGAATAAATATATGAAGTCACCATAGTGCCTAGCACAGAGTCAGCAATCAATAAATGTTATCTATTAATGTTAATTGTAAGAGAATAGTGAGAGTTTAACACTGACCTGTCTAGCATAAAGTTTTATTATTTAATTCAAAATTAAAATGATGGGCCAGCTGAGTTATTATTTTCTCTAAATTCATTTGGAAGCACTAGAATCACCCAAAGAGCCTTTAAACATTACCAATACTGAGTGCTTATGCCCCTATAGATTCTAATTTAATGGCCTGGGGTGGGGTCCAGCAATTTTTTTTAATGCTTTTCAAGAAATTTTAATGTGCAGCCTTGATTAGGCATCACTACAGTACACATGGTTATTTTCTTATTCTGTCTGTTTAAAAGTATCAAGCTGATTTAGTCCAAAGCTTGTTGACTTCGCCAATTTTGCTCTCCCTTCTCTGGTGAAGGGCATCATTTCTTAGAGGAGAGCTCACCTAAAGGACTACAATTCCCCTGGATGCTTATGGCCTTAATAATGGAGTGATTCCTAATCCATAGATATTCCACAGTCAGATGGAGGCATCATTTTCCAAGGAGAATCTTGGAATGCCTTAAGGAATCAGCAGGCATTGGAGTATCAATACATAAATTCAGCTCAGCTCAGACCCAGCACAGACATAAATAGGAACATTTGGAGGAGAATTTCTTTTTCTAGTCACCTATGAATGATGATTTTCAGCCTCTCTTATACAGCAAATTATGCTTTTCAATTCTTGTTATTCAGTGGCAGATAAAAGACATGGAAATAATCTAATTGATACCACTTTGGCAGTTTTCAGAAGAGAGATTTAAAAAGAAGAAAACTTGTTTGGTTTTTTCAATATTCTATATCTTAATAAAACAGAGGACCACACTATTGAATTAAAAGGTATTTTTGTTTCTCTTTCATATAAAAATTTGTATGAAATTAATATAAAGGCATTCCAACTGATTTACTTATTTCAGATACAGTCTTTTTATTCCATGTCTGCACACCCTCAAACTCACATCATGGGGCCTCAAAACTTTCACCAGGGTCCTCTCCTGGACTTTCTGTGCATGCAGGCCCCCTTCTGGACAGGGCTGGGCTGTCACACCACCATCCTGAGGTTGACCCTCTGAAGCTATGACCGTATGGCCTGTGGCAGCTCCAGGCCTAGATCATGAGTTTGGAAGATTCTGACTTTGCTGTCTTGGAATTCAGTTGCCTACAAGGGTGACTGACCTCCTCTGCTAGAGACAGGCCATGTCCAGAGGCCCTGGAGGAGGACATAACCCCTAGAGGGAGAGGCAAGGGCAGGACAGCCAGCCTCCTACTGACAGTGAGCACCAAGGCCTGGGTGCAGAGGCCTGCCTGGAGAACCTCCAATCCAACCCAGCTCGGCTGCCCAAATGAGGCCTCCTTGTGAATAGTATGTACAGTGGAACCATCCAGGCCAACCACAAAAGCATGAGAAATAGAAAGTCCCTGTGGTTTTATGCCACTTAATTTGGGGGTCATTTGTTATATCTCAATTAATAGGTGAAACTCATGCCAGCTTCCTGATTTTAGGAAGAGCTGATTCAATTGGTCTGGTGCTCAGGATCACAAATATCTCAAATAATGCACATTGGTCCTCAGTCTCTAAAAATTCTATTGATGTTTTTCTTAAGAAACATAGTTCAGATGATAATCTTCTTAAACACACAGAAACACACACCATTACCACATTCACTAATAATAATAATAATTAACAACAACAACAAAACTAGTATATTGTCATTTACTTAGAGTGACCAGCTTCAGAAGGGAAATGAATAACTGTTTAGCCTCCATGCATGGCCTGACTATGAAAGAGGAGTTCCTAAACACAGATTGCACGTCTATTCTCTCAATACAGTTTACAGCTAGGTTGCATTAATACATATTCATCAATAGATCAGTTGAAAAACCCTGAGCTCTGTTCATTATACTGTAGGCCTGTGGTCAAAAGGTGTTTTTTTTGTTTGCTTTTGAGATGGAATCTCACTCTGCCACCCAGGCTGGAGTGCAGTGGCACAATCTCGGCTCACTGCAACCTCTAATTCCCGGGTTCAAGTGATTCTCCTGCCTCAGCCTCCTGAGTAGCTGAGATCACAGGCATGCACCACCACACCCAGCTAATTTTTGTATTTTTAGTAGAGATGGGGTTTCATCATGTTGGACCAGGCTGGTCTCGAACTCTTGGCCTCGGGTGATCCACCCACCTTGGCCTCCCAAAATGCTAGGATTACAGGCATGAGCCACTGCACCTGGCTAATGATTTTTTTTTTAAGGTGTCTTTGAGGAGAAGTAATGTGAAAAATGGAGCATTTCACAACACAGATTAGATGCCACATAAGATACAAAGCTAAGAGAAAGGAAACTTATTCTGGGCTCCAAAAATGTGGGGATGTCAGACTGAAATTAATACTCATGTTTCTGATGAAAGGTCTCAAACTGAGTACTGTGGATTATTCTAGACCATTAATAACCACAAACTGCTTGGAATAACCATGGCAACGACCAGTAGCTATGTACAGTACAATCACCCTGATTACCATAGAATTAGCACAAAACAAATGTTTGTTCTTTTCCTAAATAGATGTATTATGATGATGATAACAGCTTCCTATTTACCCCAGGTTTTCCCATCACCAGTCCTACTCCCAACAATGGAAATATGACATCGTTGCTTGATATTCGTTTCCATTTCTTTCTTTCCTTAAATAAATTTTATTCTCTTTATTTCTGTTTATTTTTTTCCTAAAGGACCCAGAGCAGTGCAAGGGGAATGGGTGGCAGCTGACCTTTCATTCCCTTACCCTCTTGGCTCAGTGATACACAAGAAAACATAACACACACATTCATTCATTGATCACCGTCTGGGCTTGAGTAGGGGGGATGATAACCCTTAAAATAGTGCCTGGAAGCTTCAAATTCAAATGGCCAGCCTGAATTGCATGTTAATTGAAATCATGTAATTTTGGTGTCTTTGGTATCCACAGAGCATGGGCCCCGAATTCCATCTGCTCCCAACACAGAGAGGTAAGCATCCCCCAGCCCAGGGTGTTAAGTTACCTGCCTCTGTGCCGCCATTGTGTGTACCTCACAAAGGCACAGCCAGACCAGGTATCATTGAGCCAGGCCAGCAAGTGAAGACTGAACTCTAGCCTCGGCCTCTCAGCTTGCTGGCATTGTGAGCCATGACGACAGCTGGCACTTGGCTGTCCCCAAAACCCCCTTTCACGGTACCCAGCACCACGCTTCCACACACGATTGTAGCAATTAGCTGCCGTGCGGCTGATGTACCCCGCAGAGGACTGTGGCTCATCTGACACATCTGGGCACAGAAAGTAATTGAAACAGCTGCTTCCGCCCATATGGCAGCAAAAGCTGGTTGTGCAAAGTCTGCTGCCTGGGCTGCACCAACCTCGGGCAAATTAGCCATCATTAATCCCCAGATCTGACCAGCATACGCAGAGCCACTAATCAAGACAGCTGGGGGGTGGGGGGAGGTGGCTGAGAAGGAGAGTCCCTTTAAGATTGCTAAATGGCATCCCAGGTTAAAAAAATAAAACACACACACAAGCACAAATTGCAGTCTTCCTCTTCCTGAACACTTTCCTTCTGCCTGACGAGGACAGGCTGTGTCTGTTGGTGCTCGTCGTTAGGAGATTGCTAAAATAGCAGCGCGACTTTCTGGAAGTGTCATACTGCTCTATGCAAGCCTGGCATCCTGCAGTTATAAATAGCTAGTTGCGTGGAGAGTGAGAACACGGTATTGTGCTGTCATGGTGTGCTGGCTAGCCATGAAGCCCAGAGAACCACAGCAATTGGGGGCCTGTATGAGAAAGGGAAATAGCACCTGACTTGGCTAGGGGAGCACAGGTAGCTATGCCTGTCTTCTGCAAGGTACCATGCTGGCTTTGGGCAGGATTTGCCTTCCATCATTCCACTGACCTCTCAGGGATATGCCTTCTATTATGATATGGAATTTTTAGGTAATGACTAAAAGTTAGTTGTTGCAAATGAGCCTTGTTTATAGGCAAAAGGCCACATGCCATCTGGCAGTAAAGGGTAGCTGTCTCACCTCGGACACAGACATTGATTGAAAGACAGGCTGTAGTTTCAAAGGACTGCACTGACTCAACTTCCACATTGTGGGATGGAATAGGCGGCTGTCTCATTTACATACCAGAACTGATGTCATTATTCCGAGGGCTCATGGTTATGCCTGACAATGCCCAATGTAGATGGTGCGGTGCATCTGGGCAGGGCGTGGCAGGGGTGATGTGTCATCCCAGAGGTGTCAGAAACTCATCCTGAGCAGTAGGGATAGTACAAGCACAGGGTGGATCTGCATGGTCCTGTCACTAATCCCTGAGGCCAGAGAGGCAGTCCAGACTTGGGGATTTCAGTTCTTCGAGAAATGGAAATGTACATAATGAATTAGATTGAACAAAAAAATATATAGCTGCTATTAGAGTCATTGTCCATTACTCTGAGGTAGTTGTTTTCTTCTTTGGTGAGTCTGGACTTCAGGCAGGTAAGAAAACTTCAGAGAACAACTTCATCCTGTGGTTTGGAAGAGACGGATGGGATGGAGAGCTCAGAGATAACTTGATGCTTCTTTTTCAATTCAGCATGTCAAACAAATCCCTAACATCTTCTCGAGATCCATAAGGAGAAGGCTTTCCTGCAACAGAAACTCTTGTCTTCACTACACGGGTCCTGCAGACTTCTTCCTGATGTCCATGTGAGTTGATTCTACTTGCTTCTTTGTAAAATGTTAAAACCAAAGAGAAAGGGGTGATGATGGGGGGCACAGATCTGTAAATCTTCATAGTATTTATGTTTTTTCTAGATGAGATGGTAAACTACTGGAGAATTTCAAGCAGTAGAGTGTTAAATTAAGCTTAACCCAAAGCTGCCTTCTTACACATTTCAAGTTCAGCCTGAAGGTCTCTTCTTAACACAGTGAGTTATAAACTAACTGGATGTGTAAATAGACTATAACCTACTCTCATGTCAATCACTGAGTTTCTGCCAATCACAGGTGGCCAACTGTTCAAATGGGGTTCAAATAAGGCAAACACTGAACTGTAACCAATCCAGCTGTTTCTATATCTCACTTCAGTTTTCGGTATGTCATTCTCCTTTTTCTGTCCATAAATTTTATTTGACTGTGCACAGCTCCAGGCTCTGCCTGAACTTACTCTGGTTTGGGGGCTGTCCAATTTGGGAATTGTCGTTTGTTCAGTTAAACAATTTTAAATTTAATTTGTCTAAGGTTTTCTTTTAACAAGAGCGAGTTTAGTTTAATGAAAATTCAAAAAAGGCTATTTTAGCAGAATATGCTGACTGCTGTGAAAATTGTAAAAAACAGGAGGAAGAAGCAAGACATGTTAGAAGGCTATTGTGATAGCCATGTAAGAGATGCATGTGGCTTGGACCAGTTGGCCATGGATGTGAGTGAGGGTGGAATCTGGTTGCCTGTTGAAGGCAGAGCCCAAGGATTGTCTGAGGAAGCCCATGTAGGGTATGAAAGGCAAGAGTCAAGAACCACCCCAAGGCTTTTGGCTAAGGTTACTGAGTTTCTGCTCTGCACCAGACTCTGTGTTCAGCACTTTTTACTTATCTCACTCATTGAATCATGAAGCGATAGTGGGTTAGGTATAAAGATCTTCACCATGCTACAGAATTGAAGTAACTTGCCAAGGTCATGTCAGAGGAGCAGTGACAGACACAGGTGGAAACCTGAGACTGTGTTAACAGCACTCTAGACGTTCATCTTCGCTCTCCTTCTAGATGCCAAGGGGAGAGTAAAACTGGGAGCTAATTCTCAATGTTGGCTTGATTTTTCAGTCATTACTTGCCGACACCATCCCCTTTTCTGTTTCTGTGTCAGCTTCTTGTGTATGAGAACTGGGATGAGATGATTCTGATGCTATGCTTAGTTCACAGCCTCTAGTTAAGAACAATAAAAAATAACTTTGCCCAGTTGGTTCTGTTTACCTTTATAAAACCGGGGTCCCCACCCCCAGTAAGTTCTTTATTTTTATTTACCACACTGATTATATAATATCCCCTATTTCCTTACGTTTTCTTCCTCATGGGATAAAATTCCTGACCTAATCATGATAGAATGACTTCATCATTAGATAAATGTTTTCAAACATTATCTAGATAGTCACTGCTAGGACTTAGGTTGCTAAAATTTATTTTCTAGTGTGACAATATATCCCCATTGAGCTTAGGGTGATGTAGTCTGGAGTCGCATTTCAGAATTCATCAGATGCTTCTAAATGGACTGTTCCTTGGGGAGTTACTTGACAGCGTAGTAGCTAAGAGTCCATGTTCTGTAGTAAAACTGCCTGCCGTTGAAGGCTTGCCCTGCAATTTCTGTGTGGTTTTGGGTGAGTTACTTTACCTCTCTGTGCTTATGTTTCATCTTTTATAAAATAGAGATAAATAGTATCAATATTCGAGGGTGGTTATAAGAATTGTTACCATGCATAACTTCCTAGTAAATATTAGCAGTTTTAAAATCATCATCATCATCATCATCACAACCATCATCATTAGATAACACAATCCTGGCAAAAATGTATCTTACCAAGTTGAGGTTGAATTGAAAACAGTCAACTGGAGATAAGTAATATTGACATTGCCTGCCTTAACCATTTAGATGTGCTTTCCATCTAAACACTGATATATTATTTGCATATATATCTTAGATAATTGCTAAAAACATATGCTTTTAAAGTATGGATTTACAAGCAATTTGGGGACTATGACTAATTGTGATTCAGAGTTAATTACTGTCAGTCCAACTAAAAATTATGAAGCACTTTCCCAAACCCATCGGTAACATTTAGGAGACCCAGGGAAAGAGCACAGATGGAGGATAACATACCATATATTTAAATATTTAAAAGAGATTGCACCCTGGACTGTGTAGCCCATATCTGAGAATGACTGTTCCCTCCTGGCCTCTGGAATGGATATATGATCATTGGAACTGTACTTCATGCTTCATTCTCACTCCATGTGCTAGCAGTCCATTTGCCTTCTGCCCCTGAAACCAGAATGACCTTGATGACTGGTTCATAGCAATGAGTTATCTCATGGAGGCAAGAAGAGTCTGATGGTTTCAGATAGCTCTGGTGGTAGGAGCCTTTGGAAAAACAGGTCCACACAGCCCAATAACATACTCCAGCACAGATAACAGAAAAGAAATAGTCTTCCTGCAGACCCCAAAGGAATCTTACCTATTTGGCCTTGCTAGAAATTAACTGCAAATGAACTTTGGGAAAAGGAGTATAGGCTCCTTCCAATCTACCAACTAGGCTTTGCTCTTCCTTTTCAACCTAACTTTAGGTTCCTAGAATGGCTGTTTTCAAGAATGAGGCTAGAAAGACATTGAGGGAGAATTAGAATAGCACAGGAGAAAGACAAGAAAATTCCCCTAACCTTTCATAGGTCTAATATTGCTTTGTCCTTCTACCTCTTTTGTTACAGTGGATGACGTTTTCACTAGACAACATGCTTCCCTGTTTCATCTTCAGGACAGACATATATTTTGCTTACTTGGTGTTTGTTGATTCACCAGAGTTTTAATTGAATTATCATCAGTATAGAGGCAGGAACTAACTTCCCCGTCATACATAACACACTCTGTGTATTCCAAGAGTGAAGAAAGACCTAATGCTCTACATGAGAAAGATTGAGTCAGAGCCAATTATCAAACCCCATTCTGTTGGCCAAGAGCATCTTCATTTTAGCTGTTCCTTTAGGGTGTTTGTGGATAAAACTTCTTCGCTGGCCAGGTGTGTCATCCCAGCAATTTGGGAGGCTGAGGTGGGAGGATCTCCTGAGCTCAGGAGTTTTAGAGCAGGCTAGGCAACATAGTGAGACCGTCTCTACAAAAACATTTAAAAATTAGCTGGACATGGTGGTGTGTGCCTGTAGTCCCAGCTACTTGGGAGGCAGAGGTGGGAGGATCGCTTGAGCCCAGGATGTTGAGGCTGCAGTGAGCCACGATTGCACCACGCCACAGCAAGCCTGGGTAACAGAGCAAGACTCTTGTCTCAAAATAAAACAGTAAAATAAAATAAAGTAAAATAAATAAAACTTTATTTATTTTACTGGAGGGCAGGGAATCACCTCCAGTGCAATATAATTTGCCTCTGCTCTGTGTGTGTGGCGGGGGGGGGTGGTATAGGGGTGTGTGTGTATGTGTGTATGAAATGATGGAACCTCCCAAATCAGTTAAGAGTTTTTATGGTGGAGTGGAATCTGAATCTGGGGATGGGGATGGATGGGTTACAAGTAACCATCTTTGCTTCTTCTAGTTTAGTATTTCAGAAAAATGAATGCATGCCTCAACAGTGTTAAAGAGGCTGATAAATTAGTTTTTTTTTCTCTCTCTCTCTTTTTCTGCTAATATTTCGGGTTCCTTTTTTTTCATAGCATTGTGACAAATATGAGTAGGAAATCAATTCGTAGGGTAAAAAGACACAGCCCAGTTATTTCCTCTTTTAGTTATTTGTATCTTGCTTCTATTGTAGGCCCTTTAAAAGGTGATCTTTATAGATACTTAAAAGAGGAGAGTAAGCATCCCAATCACAAAGAACCTGCACATTGCTGATGTGCAGCAATGTATTCAGTATTATTTTGCAAATTTCCTCTGTGAAAGCTGATAAGTAAGCAGTAGAGTTGGAAAATGAAATCCTCTATTGACTTCAGACTCAAATTTTGTCTCAATTGCTGACAAAACATAACCAATCTTTTAGTTACTGCCAATAAAGATTATATGCTTTAGAAACAAATTTCTTATCTTATTTCCAAGTGTGTTTTTAACAGCCTAACAGGACAAGAGCTCTTGTCGATATTTTTACTTATTAGAAAGTACTCACTTTCTCATTGACAAAAAGATTTCAAGCTCTCACAAAGAAACAGTGTTTAAAATTTTTGATAAATATACGTATTACTAGAGTTCTCTGAAATATGCTGTGTCCTTGTTCTATTTTCTTATGTTTCAGGTCAGAATTGTGTAGTTTCTTGTTACAGGCTGGGTGAGACATACAGGGAAAAAGGTAGATGCACTGTTATTTTCCTATGTTTGTTTGATTTTTTCCAGTGATCTATAAACTAATATAAAGACCCTGAATGAGTATACTGTGTTTCTGACTGAATGAAGAGATAATAATTTAGAACTGACTGCGTAAGAATAATCATTAAACCAACATGGTTTTATTTCTTAAAATGGTGTTTGTATTAGCTTTTCCTCTAGTTTTTGAAATAATCAGTACTAAATATGGTCAGAGCAGAGTGATATAAATTACTTATCCCCGATGCTTCTTGAGTAAATGCTAACTAAAATCGTCATTTCCCTAGGCACTTAATTGGAGGGGAAAGAGGCAAATGCAATGCCAGTCTTGTGCATATTGGCTTCCAGCTTCCAAAATGCCTTTTGTGGGGTTGAGAGGGAGACTCTGAAACCGCACTTCTGCTTTGCCAGCTGCCCATGTTAGCCCCATGATAGGCTCTGCAAACAGTGGACAATAGAGAGTGAGGCTAAAGGAGGAAGAAGATGCCACCTACTCTTGCCTGTTTGCCTCCTGTCTCTTTCAGCATCACTCCAACTATGGCAGCTGTTTCCTGCCCGTCATTTCATTCTTGACTCACAGAACAGCCTTATTGTATCCTTTTAGAAGTTTGAGCAGCAGCCTAGAGGTGTGTCTTCATTGGAGGTCTGAGCCCAAGCAGCACAAAGATCCTAACCTTTGCTCCCAAGTTCTGATATCTGCAAGGACTTCCCTTTTATTCCTTCAGATATTATCTTGGGTTGTTTAACTTGGTGCTGTCTTTTTGTTCTTTAAGTAACCCAGCACTCATGCTGTCAATTCCTTATACATTAAATTCTGGACACTGGTATACAACAAGCTGTATATTCCTGATACTGTGGAGGTGCTGAGGGATGTAGGGGAGAAAAAAAACTTCCTGTTGAGGCAGGAGAATAGGTTGTGGATGCAGGGAACCTAAGGCTGATTCACAGGGACTTCCTGGCACTGATCCTAAAGGGGAACCTCAGCTTTTCACCCCTAAGTGACAGGGCAAAGCTACTCCCTTAGCAAGAATGTTCTTCTTTTTCTGGTATAGGGAGGGCACCTTTCTTGTGCGAAAGTGTATGACCTCCTTTTAGGTAGAAAAGGGGAGGTTAGAGAGCCCTTTCTGCATCTGCTATTTCTTATGTGCAGTAAGCTCAAAATAATCAGCATGGCAAAGCAGCATACTTTGGGGTGATCTGTTCTGAACCCCATCAGGGTAAACATAAAAGATAATTATTACACTATCTAAAAAAACTGCTGAAGAGATTTTACACACACACACACACACACACACACACACACACACACTCACACACACACACAATTTCTCATGATTTCTGGTAGTTATGTTCCGTAAGTCACCATGAAATACTGAATTGGTGAGTATAGAACCATTGCTTTTAGGGGAATGTTCCTTCAAGCCTTTAGTCACAATATCTTCATCAACAGATCAATGCAT